TTTGGTGGACTGCCCATTTGCTTCAAAACACTATCCAGCCATTGTAATGGACCATTAAGATAAGCTTCGACCCAACATGGTGTAGCGGTAATCGTTTGACGACGATACTCCGCACCCCAACCTTTTACAAAAGATACTCGAATAGTGCACATTCGAGTGAGAGCATAAACAGCTTCGAAACCTTGCGGAACTGATGCAGCTAATAATGCAGCAAATTCGGCGTTGTTAAAAATTTTCAAGTTGCAATCTGAAAAAAGCAAAATGCTCTCTATGTATGCGTGTATAAAAATCTATTAACAAACTCATGGTAAGATGAAATCTAAACTTACTGTTCATCTCTCACCTTATAATTTCCACTTTAACTTCGATAACTTTTACCTTATAATTATAATTTCCACTTTAACTTCGATAACTCAAAAAGTTGGGGCTAAGATTTAAGATAAAATTTAAGTTTTACAAAACCATTATAAAAATTTAGAATCTCTGAGCTAAATTCACTCACTCGGTGGAATTTTACAGACTGTAGCCGGATGCCAACCATGTCGCTGATTACAATTTGGACTTTGCACAAATATCGCCGAATCACTCAAGCATTCACAAAATACCTCACTTCCTATATAATAAAAGCGAGCACCACGACCTGAAATTATCTCGATGAAGAGAAGAAAAGCACTAGAAACGTAATAAAATTAACAAAGGGATTAGAACGGATGCTGAAACTAAAATTCCATTAAAAAAGATAATATAGTTATTAAAGAAGATCCTTATGCTTTTGACACAAATTAGTAATAAAAAATTTCGATTTCATAGGATGAGAAAGCAATGGAGCATTGTAAAATGCTTACTTCATTGAAAATTTTTAAAATCAAGCACGCATAATCTCTTCGGAAATTCAGATTTCTTAAGAATTGGATTTAAAGACGAGACAATTAAAAATGTGATACAAACATTTCATATTAACTTTACCGATATGTTTTCGAGCTTCTATGACACTAGCAGTACGGTTAACATTAGAAAGTTGACCGAGGCAAAAACGTTCTGCGTCAGAAGGTGCTGTATATCCGTCAACAATCAAAGATGGTTGCGAAGCATGAAACGTTTCACCAACTCGTTCTGATAACTCATAATATGACACAGAACACCAAAACGGGGGTTCACAATATTCGACAGCGATTAAATTCACTAAAATAGGGTAAAACATAAATTTTCGCGGCAATCCGTAGTTAATTAAATAATTTTATTAGCTTCTGTGAAGACAATAATCCAAACGGACATTTGGCACAGTAATACCCTCTGGAGGGACCGTCAAATCGACGTGAGAGCTGCTTGGAGAATCATACAATGAAAATCTTTTTGAAATACCTTTTTTGCCTTTTAATTGCCGGAAAGTTATTTTTCAAAGTAGTATAAAAAATCACCGTAACAAAACTAATTATTCGAAAAGAAGAGAAATGGTATTTTAAACTAAAGAAAAATTACAATTATTGGCTCGGTCAGCAATCGAGGAATCACATGCAGGTGAAAGTATTTGCGATGAATCCGGGCTCTGACCTTCATCCATTTCCAAATCTTCGCTTATATATCCATGAGGAGAAATTGCTAAAATAATTGGCTTCTAATAATTTACAAAAAAATCCCAAAAGTTTACAGAAAAATTAATTTAACTTGCATTTAAATAATTCTCTTTTTCAAATTATTTATTTTTATTTTCAAAAACAGACCTTCAGCGTTGACAGGGAATAACTGCTTTTCCATTATGTTCTCAGTAGGCGACAGTCGCATAATACCGATAGCATTAATTCCAACAGGACTGCTCATATTTGGTGATGAAAGCGTTGAGGAATTGCGATTATTTTGCCATCCTGTTTGATCACCACTAATTACAGTACGATTCGGGATTTCCTGCATTACCATCTATATTTTTATATCAGTAACCTATCAGTTCCAATTGAACATTCGAAATACTATGCAATATGATAGAGTATATCGTATGATGAAATAAAAAATGGCCTTTCAGTCCATTACAGGAATATTGATAATGATTACACAAATTTACAATGCTACATAATATCGATATAACTCAGCAGATGTGAAACCTCATTAGTGTCCACAGTTGAATAAACGGTTCGAAATGGTTTTGAAAAATCACCAACATTGGAGAAGCTGCCAATTCCATTAAAACTGTCATTTAGGGGTATAAGGATAGCAGGCAGTGCTAAAATGTATGTCGAAATAAGTAAAAAAAAACAACATTGTTAGAGAGTAAAAAAGTTTGGTGATGCAAATATCAGAATCCACTACATCTTCCAAGTTTATATGAAAGATTTAGAAATATAAAGTTGTAATGTTTAGAAATTAACACGTCCAGAAAGTTGCACAGAAATGACAATAATGAAATAAAACATACGAGAATTCTCGATTTTCTCATAATGATAGGGATTGACGCAAACTGATTCCAGCTTTTTGTTATACGGAAAACGACAATGTGGAACAGATTTTAACTGATGAGACGAAGCAAGTTCTGGATAACGCCACATACGACAGTAGATCACGTGAGGCAAACATTTACGTTGTGAAACTTGTAATCGGCCGTCCAATGACCTGCAAAATAATTCGGACATTAATAATATGAATATAATATGAATAATAATGTGGAATTAATAATATGAATAGAACGAATTCTTTGAGAAATCTGTACTCTCTTTCGTTTTACATTTGTTTGGATGAAGGAGACAAAGGCTATTTAGCTTAATATTCATATCAAGAACATTAAATTTTTTTAATGATAACAAACAATACAGCTAGCTATTATAATGAATAATACTAGCAACAGGAGTATGTCAAACATCCAGTATGGAATAATTCTCTTTCAAAACAAATAATATGCTCTCGCATTTGCAGTACAAATTTTTTTTTTAAAGTCCTCATCTGATTCCAGAATATTTAATAACTTCAGTCTTTCAATGTATACTGATACCAAGAACACATAAACTTATCGAAGCTACTGCTAGCGATACAAATCACTCGCATCCTTCTAAAAATTGACGAGGAAACAAAAAAGAGAGAACATTACCGTGGGATACAAACACAATCAGTATTTGGATCTTCAGTGGAAATTGCTTTTTCCAATTCGTCGATAGCTTTCGATTTTTTGAGTTTCTTTACCAAACTTTTTACCGCTTTTTCAGGCCAATGTTCATCCTTTAATGCAAGTAATCATTTAGTTATATTCATTTTTGTCTAAATTTGATTATGTTCAATTAAATTTTTTAAGTTTCTGCTCACTTTCATTTAATTCATTTTGAATTTGATTCAACTCATATGTATCAAACATAGTTGATATATATAAACAAGTCTGATTAACATACACACTCAGTTTCTTTCAGCTTTTTACAGTTTAATCGAGGCTCAGTTCTGTACAATTCATTTTCCCATTCGCACTCAAATCAATTAGCTATCATCTAGCTTTTAATTTGATTGTTTCTTTTAAATTCATTTCTCTCGATACTATAATTCTCCTCAGTATTAAACAGGTTCACCCTTTTCTTTGAGCCCAATTTAATTCAGCTCATTTTTTATAGAAATCAGTCCAATTTAAATCCGACCTAATTTAATACCACGTGAGTTTATTTTTGCTCAATGTAATTCATTCTTATTTGAATTCAATGGCCTCAATTCAACCCACTTTGATATAGCCTTCCCTAAATTAATTTTGACTTATTTTAGTTATTTTAGTAGACCTAATTTAATACCACGTGAGTTTATTATTTACTTATTTTTGCTCAATCTAAACTTCGGTTCTACTAAAACAAGATTTTTATATTTAAATCGAACTTTATTCACTTCCAGTTTAATTTAAATCGATTTCCCCCAACTGAATCCGGATTTCATCCTGCCCTGTGCAGAAAATACACTAGGCAAATAAACTTTCAAAACTATATAACCTCGATGTTGGTCGTTTCTTCACCAAGAGGCTTTTCGCGAATCATTGATACCAAACGACGCACGGTTGCGCTAGCTGTCCCGATGTCAAACAAACCTTTCATGATGGGATAACCGATGACAAACTTCTGCAAGATTAATGCAAAATATGAGTGTTGAAATAGATATGTAAGTAAAAGAAAAGCAAAGTAATAAAATAAAATTACAACAATATACTGGAGTAATATGTATATAAGTTAATTGATAACGATGATTAAAGTGAAACAAGTTAGTTATGTAAAAATGATACCGTTACAGATCATTATGGTACTACATAAAGATGAAATTACAGTATAGCAAGAAGGAAGAGAAATAAAACGAAGCTGTGTGAAAAACACAGCAATAAGCTTGCTTCACTCTATAATTAAATTTTACAGAAGTTTACAATAATCTTTTCAACAGAAATTGACTGGAGATACAATTATGCTTCAAACTTCCTAAAATCTGCAAAATAAATGACTAACGAGCAACTAATTATAAAAGTCGAAAGCATTCATCCAACTGTGCAATATGAAACATGTCGGAAATAATGCGGTCTCGAGAAATGATCAGCGCAAATTTTAGGATCATACGTAAAAAATAAGGTGTCATTTCAAGATTGTTATATTTTTGTTTACTTTTTATGCTCACGATTCTTTTTGTTTTTACTCACATTTATTCTGCTAATTGCTTAGTTCTTTGTCTTTTTGTGCTTATCCACTTTCCACTCTCTTCTACTATTTTTATTTAGCTTTTTCTTTTCTCATTCATTTCTATATTTCTTTTCTTTTCTTTATAATCATTTGTATTTTTATGACGCAACTAAAACAAAATATAATTTTAATTGCATAAGCATATTTCTTGATCATATTTTTTGAACGAAAATTATTTGCGTTTTTTCCGAATTCCTCCAATTATCCATTTATATACGGTGTATTATTTCATTTATAGATGTATGTATTGAGGAATTAGCTGTTCTTTCATCTGTTATTGAATGAATATACCGATCTGATGAGGTGATGCGGTAAACAGTAAGGAAAATGGCTGTAACAATAAACAGTGCCATATTCTGTGGTCAGTTGGGTTTGAGCCTGATGCAGACATTTTTTATGTTTTATTATGTCAAAGTATTCCTGAATATTTATAAGATCAATCAGTTTTGGTTTGGTATTGCGCAGATGTTATTTGCTATTTGGAATGCCATCAATGATCCTTTGTTCGGTTATGCTCAGGTTAGAAATCGCATTTTAAAAGAATCACAAAAAATACTGTGATGTTTGGTTATGCTCAAATATTCTCCAATCCAGGAAAAAAAATTTTTGAATAACGGTTGTTTGTCGACTTTATTGATTTAATTTGTTATCGAACATCAGATTTGTGGATGTGATTTAATGGGATTAACTCATATAGCTAAAATGAACTAATTCGTCTAATTAAGTCTCTTTATTTTACATTCAGCATGCCAAATACTTTTATTCTTTGTTAAATAATATTACAACTTACTTGCTTATCACCCATTTATAAGTCGTTTTTCGTAATCATTTATCACTTGTATTTATTTTTTATTTAGTAATAATGGGTGTAATAAAGTAGTAATCATGAATTCTATGATTCCAATCAATTTTTTCTTTTGATTTCAGGACGTTAGCATTACATGGTTTCACTGCCGCACAAAAGTAATATCAATCTTGGGACCTTGTCTTGCAGTCTCTTTTTTAGTTTTATGGTTTCCATGGAGCAGCATGGATGGATCGTCATTGCCATATGTTATCGGATGTCATTTGGTTTTTGGTCTTTTCTTCTATGATGCCTTCTACAGGCATTTCTCCTTTGCTTTTTATTTTTTTTTCCTTATTAATTGAAGAGATGAACAGAAGTTTGCTTCAGTTTGTTAAGATTTATCATTGAAAATTATGCTTGCTTTATTGGACTGATCAAGACGACACTCACTTCCCACTTTTAATCATCGGCCAATCTTAAAATTAACTATTGCAGCTGTATTAGTGTTGCATGGAGTGCTTTATTCGCGGAAACAACTTGCAGTAAATGTGAACGTATTTCAGCTTTGAAATTTTCCCAATTTGCAATTCTTTTATCTGTTAATATTATACCAATCACTGAGAAACTGACTAGTGGACTGAATGTAAGTTCCGCTTTATTCTTTGTTAACTTTTAATTGTAATATATTTGATTTAATAGCCTTCTGCACTTGAAATACATCATAATAAATATATGAGGCATACAACGAAAAAAACCAAGTTCCCAATATAAATTATAGAAGCTTTTATAATTTAATAAAAAGTATTCAAAATTTTAATTTAGTTTATTTATTACTGATTTAGAACTTTTATTCATAATATCAAATAACTTAATTTCAGGATTTCCGGACTTTCCAATATATTAGCATTGTTATTGCGGTTTTAGCATTGCTTTGTTTCAAAGTTGCCGGATCGATACATTATCAAAACAAATTGCTGCATGAAGATTTATTCTCTTCAGCAACACCATTACAGGAAAAATTTAAGAAAAAATTTTTGAATGTTTTCAAAATAACGAAACAAATATTAACAAGACGTGATTTCCGAACCATTACTATAACCTATTTCCTTCATGCGTTCAGGTTCATTTCTTTTCTGCTTTTTCAAAAATTTTTTCCGAATTTATGATTTTATAAAATTTATTCAAGTTTTGAAGTCAAATTTAGTTTCCGTATTAGATTTTTCAAACTAACACAAACTAATATGATGATTATGTCCAGGTCAACTGTTCATTTGAACTTTGCTGTCATTGCCACCGAAATACTCATCCCAGAGCAGGTTATGACAAAAGGGTCTTGGAAAATGAGTCTTTTCTATGTGGCGTGTACACTTATGCCTCAGGTTATCAATCATTTTCTTTTGTTTTGCAATAAATATTATTTCCTAGCTAAAAAAAAATTGGAAATGTTATTTGAAGGGATTTTTTCTTTCAAAATATTCGAATTTTTTTTTACAGCTGTGTGTAATATTAAGCGGTGAAACATTCATCAGAATAGGTGTCGCGTCGGTTATTATGAAGTCATTTATGGCTTCCATGATTGCTTCTGTGTTTCTTCTAATCTTTGGCTATAATCACCCATATCTGATCATTTTATTCATGTTTTTTGACAGGTATTTTCTATGAATTCTTAACGTTTGCTAATATGTGATATTTTACTTATCATTTACTGGAGTGGTTTGATCTATCAACAAGATTTATCTGTCACCGCGGTATAAACGGTGCATATCTTTCACCCCAATCGTAATTTATAAACTTTTTCCGCTACCTGTAGCAATCTCATAATAAAACTTAACTTAAATCATATGATCACTTTTCGACAGCGATTTAATTTATTTTTAGCATATCAGTCCATTCAGTAGCTCCATTATATCAAGTTTTGTTAGCTGATTATATTGACGAAGATATGATCTTTTTTTCAAGACAGTAAGCTGACATATTTTCTCTTTTTTTAAATTATCTGTAAAAAACTGGATTATCGCAGTGTCAAGTTTCCAATTTATAGTTTATTTTGTTTTACATTGTGTTTCGAGTAGTAATTTACTAATAAAGCAGTCCAGTTACTAATAACTACGAATTGTCAATAATTGAAATATTTGGCCTTTGATTAATGTAATCTTCAGAAAGCCGATCTCTACTATAATATATAGTTTAGCCGCTCTATTGGTCAGACCAGCTCAATCTGTTGCACCATTTATTATTGTAATGATTCTTACATATTATGGTTATAAGGTTAATATTAAAAGTTCTTCCTTTGATTTTAGATGCGGGTGAAATACAGTTTCGAATTGTGGTTTATTTGTAATGTGCATATGTTAAGCACAACTAACGTATAAGTACAACATAAATGTATTGAGCAAGTGCAAGGCTAAGCAATTCTAATGGACTGAGATGAAAGCACACGCCATTTTGTATTCAATATTTTAAGGCGTTATGATATGTTAGCTTGAATGAGAAAAAGCATAATAGAAGGCAAAAGCTTGCATTATTTCAAGGATTCATAAAGTTTTTTCTTAATTTTTCAAATAATTTAGGAGTACCAAGCGAGTAATTTGGTGAGTTTGCAACTCAGTAATGGTATGTTTTATGTTGTTTGTTCAACAACTTTGGTCATTAGTGCTGTGCAGTTACTAATTTTTTATTCTTTTGCTTTAAAATGCTCAATAAAAAATCCCAAAGGTGATATCTTGTAGTATTAATTCTTAACTAATCATATGCCTCGTTCGTTTAATCTGTGTTAGCAATCACGTAATTCAGGTGATGATTACTAAGAGCTATTGGATTATTGATAACTGTTAATGTTTGATTGTTTTTTTGTTAATAACTGGTAGTAATTGAACGTCGTGTTTATTTGTTGATAGCAATGAGTGAATGTTGATAGTGCTAGCATATTATAGTAAGTCCTCGTAAATTGTGATATGCATTCACTTGTAAATAAATAATCTACACAAACATTCAGCCCGTTAACAGATTGTGTTAATGATTGGATTGGAAGCGAGAAAAAGTCTTTTACATGGTTATATTGTATTATTAATAAAAATTCAACAGTAATTTTTAACCACAATTCTATAATACAAGAAAAGAATTGGACGGATGATGTGATGTAGTTTGGGTAGTTGTGATGCAGAGTCTATGCACAAGTTCAATTAATCATATTTTTTTTTCTTTTGAAGGAAGGTGGTAATACGGCTATATACTAACGGTGGCATTATAGAAGCTTGTGAATGGTGCTGATGATTATAGTTATGAAATGATTTTATGAAAAAATCATTATATGATATTATGCATTATTATAGTTTTTTCCTTTTCAAAGAAGAATTTTTTTTATTTTGCATGAGTTTTGGAATTTTTTTTCTACAAAGAATAATGTTTATTTTTTTGGTTTGTTTTAAAATTGGTTGGGGTACTTATTCGTGGTGAGGACACTGATAAGTTGTGATGTTATTCAGTTCTTGGAAGGAACCAAAGAGGGCAAACGAATTATTACTTTATTTCCGTTGCTTTACCCGATTTAATGGATGTTGGATGGATGATGTAATGTGGTTGGGGTAATTAAATTTCATCACATTATACCAAAAGCTTGAAACTAGCTGTTGGAATTTCAGTGGGAGAGCAATAATTCTTTCTTTCATTTTAGATTATCTTTAATGGAAGCAATGGTACTTATTGATAATTAATAATAATAATAATAGTAAATAAATAACAGTAATAATAATGACAATAAGTACGTTTATTGTAGTATACCGTTATTGTATTGATTTCAGGGAGACGAAACATTTTAAGGCTTCAATTGTGACGAGTTATAAACGAGCCCAGAACTGTAAAATGAAGTTGTGTGTGTGTGTGTGTGTGTGTGTGT